TTCGAGGTTGAAGGAGTGGTAGGAAGGGGTCGTCCGCGGTTGGGATGGAGAGAGCAGGTGGAGAAGGACAGGGTGAAAGCGGGGTTGCGTGGTACTGAGGCGAGTGACAGATGTGGATGGAGTCGAGGGGTATTTCGGTTTCATCATAGGTAGCCAAACGGCAACCCCCGATCTCGGGGAAAATGCCGTCTAAACGTGTGTTGTTGTTGTTGTTGTATGTCAATGGCAACTAATTTGACAACAAAGTGACACAAATGTTTAAAATTATTTTATTAAAAAATGTAAATGAAATGAAATGTTATCTTTTTTCCATAGAAACTTCCAATTGATATAACATTATCTAAAGTTTATCTCAAAAAAAGTTATATTTTGTATGAAGAAATGAATAAGATAAAAAAAATTAATTATCAAAACTGACAAATAATGTAAGGAAAGGGTTAAAACTGATAAGTTAACATTCTGGAATGAAAAAAGTTGATATAATGATGACTTGAAACAAGTTAATATATTGCTGCAGTAAAATTATGATGTAGATTAGTGATCAGATATTTACGAATGCAGATGAGAATGCAATAATAAACTCTTGCAGAAAAAATACTGAATATTATAAAGAGATTTAAAAAAATGCATGTTTAAATTGAAATCATAAAGGCATACATGTTAGGTAAAGAAGGTCTTGAAAATAATTTTTCAATAATGGGGTTTGACTTATATCTACAATATTAAAAATTTTTGTCGTCAGCATAATTTCAAAAACTAATTATGAAAATTGAAGGCCAATTGTTTAATGTTTTAAATGAAAAAACAAATTCCAAAACAAGGAAAAATTGAAATAATTGTTGATGCATTATTGTTTTAATTAAATGAATCAAATGTGAAAACTCAATTAAAAAAGAAATATGATTGAAGTATGTTAAAGTATGTTGAAAATAATGATTTCATAAATAAATAAATGAAATATAAAATAATGAAGATGTTAGAGTGACGGGTTTTATGAAAACATAATAACCAAATAAAAAATACAGATTTTACCAACAGATAGCAAAAGAATGTTTGATAACATTAAATGATTGGATATAAAGGCATACATGTTAGGAAAAGAAGGTCTTAAAAATTATTTTGTTAGTTGATGAATATATAAAAAGGTATAATGAACATTTTTCAATAATGGAGTTTGATTTATATTTACAATATTAAAAATTTTTTGTCGCCAGCATAATTTCAAAAACTAATTATGACAGGAATAAAAAAATTGAAGGTCAGTTGTTAAATGTTTTGAATGAAAAAACAAATTCCAGAACAATGAAGAATTGAAATAATTGTTGATGCATTATTGTTTCAATTAAATGAATCAAATGTGAAAACTCAATAAGAAATGAAATATGATTGAAGTATGTTAAAATATGTTGAAAATAATGATTTCATAGATAAAAAAAATTAATAAAATAATGAAGATGTTAGATGTTAGATGATTAATAATGACCAAATGAAAAACACAGATTTTACCAATAGATAGCAAAAGAATGTTTAATATATATATGAAACAAATATAATTATTAAGTAAATCAAACAATTCAAAAGTTACAAATGGTTGATAAATCTTTTCATTGATAAATGATTTTACTGTCCCTTGAAATGTATTAACTTATGAAATTTAGAACGGATCTTTATTTGATTTGTGGTTTTTGCGAAATGAAATGAACGTACATTTATATATGTTTTTGCAATAAGTAAACAAAAATAATGATTATTTAGTCCATTAAATGTATCTGTTTATGTTATATGTTCTTTGAGATTTAATAAATCTTCATTGGCCAACCTTTTAAAATCCTAAACAAATAATATGCAATAGGATATTTCCATCTTCCTGATGTGCCAACTACTATAAATACCAGGACTTGTTTTGCCAATTCACCAGATGCAAAGTCTCCTCCTAAATTCTTATAACCTGTGTACATGCCTTTATGTTGCAAATAAATGAGTTGTTCACGAATTGACAATGCTATCAAGGATCAATGAACAGTATGTAAACCGTTTGGCATCCGGTTTTTTTTCTAGAAAAGTTAACAGCCCGATTGAGGCCTGGCCCTCCATCTACTGATTCCAGCCACCTTGATATGTAACATAAGCAAATTCATTAAAATTTGTATTTTATAATTGTACTTTATAATTTACTTTATCATTGTAAAATGAAACACATTTTGATTTTGAGTAAATAACTCACCTTGATAATGTTCGCTTATGTGGCAAATGCAAGCCTTGCGATTTTAAAAATTGGTAACCTTTACCACTATACAAGTGTAAGGTTAATGCAAATCTTTTTTGTTCATCTGAGTACGATTTGCGAGGTTTCATGGATAGTTCCACCGGATAATCTGTAATTGGAATTCAAACATGGAAATGATACAATTTCAACAAAAAATGTATAGTGAAAAAATAGTTTCTAATTTATAAAATTTTCTTACTGGAATTTGCGACCAATCTTGAGTTCATCATTGATTTCTTTAAGTTTTTTAATTTCTTCTTTAAATGCCTGAACATTTAATTTATATCTCTTCATTCTTTTATTGCAGCCGTATAACACTTTCCTTGTTTTAGTCAATGTCGTACTTAATTGATTAGCTTTCCTTTTCAAACTTCTTGGCTTTAAAGCATCAATACCAGTCTGTTACATTTCAAGTATATATTCCAATAATTTTTTAAATGACAATTCAGCTTTTTGAAATAGAAGCATCAATGAATGCAAGCCATATAAAAATTTCTTTAGATAACTATTTGTATTTGAGAGTTGCAGAAAGTTTAATAAATTTTATTTGATACGTATATTATGTTATAACCTGTCAAACATACAAACCAATTTAACAGCAGATGTAGATGGTTTTCAACTGGCCGCGATGATGTTGAGGGTAACTGAAATGTTAAATTATTAAAGTTTTATTAACACTGGACGTTTTTGAAAATATGTTGTTATTTGCAAGGCATCTAATTAATATCTTTAAGGTGATAACTCCGGTCAGAACGACAAGACAAATGTCTAATTATGTTTCTATCTTCTGCATAAAACATAAACGTGCTTCTTATGTTTTAATATAAATATAACAAAACGTTATGCAAAGCAAATTTTTAAAAATATTTAATAAAAACTGAAATTTGTAATACTTGGTGGCTTAAATTGTAACACAATCTTAATAATATATAGATATAAAAAGACGAACCAAATTTACACTTGACTTCACATCAGTTATTAAGTTGCAGAAATATTATCAGAAACTAACTTTACATCTGAAGAAGGCTAAAAATACAAAATGTTTAAATTAAGATAGAACCAGATTATCGGTTACAAACTTAAAAAATTAAAATAAGTTTAATTTTGGTATATAATAAATCATAACATAAATAAAAAACACTTCAGAAAAACTATTCTGACAACAATATCTTAATTTCAAAATTATAACTTTCAAAACATTTAAATTATACAACTGAAACTTGAAATGATTGGTTTTTATATATGTAACACTAACCTTGTCAAATATCGTTGGAAAAACATCTTTTAGAAGAAAAATTTTCAAACCAACTTTATGAAAACTTTTTGGTTTAAAATGTTTGCTACAAATTAAAATCTTTTTTTTCATCGTAATTGCAATGTATTTTTTAACGAGGTTTCCCCATTGCATTCTCTTAATAATTAATATCATTCTTTGGCAGTCTAAATTTAAATTTAATTTAATTAATAATATTAATTAAGTTATTAATTAATATTATTAATTAAGTTATTATCAATTATGATATTAATTTAATATCATTATTTATACAACTTTTAAGTTAACATTACCATTTAATGCATTTATTATGTTACAAATATTATTTATTACTATTATATTATATTATTATATATAATTGTTTGCTGATTATTATAATTATATTGTATAATGTTATACTTCATAGCTATAGAGTATAGTATAGTGTAGTCTAAATTAAATTAAATTAACCTGTATAAAGTAACATTTTCATTTAAAATTTAAATAAGATGAGTGGCATTTTGTAATGGAACACACAGGCATTTTGATTTGTTTGAGAATCTGTGTCTGTCAAATCAAATACTAAGCAAATATTTGTAATTAAAAATGTATTATTGTTTTTAATATTATTTTGACAAGGGCAAAACTTTACATTAGTGCCTCGATGCAAACGAAATTGGAGATAATAAGTGGAAGTGAGAGTAGGTTAAAGCGTAAATATGTCTAAAAGTGAATTGATATTAAGACTATTAATTATTAGAGTTATAAAATTATTTATGATTTAAAGTGGAATACTGTAAATAATTTGTAAATATAGTAAAATAAAACATCTTTTTAACAGTCATCAATTATTTAATAACTTTGTTGCGTTAAAATCGTAATTTTTGTATGCTTTTAAAGAGAAAGTTTTTACATTGTAGGCATTAAAGTAAACTCACATGCTTGCATGGTTATGTTCAGTTGACATTGAAATAAACTTCCATGCATTTATTTGCACGAATTTTAACATATAAAACTTAACATGAGGCTATAAAATAAACTTTTAAGCATATATCTGCACGAATTTTAACTTATAAAACTTAACATGAGGCATTAAAATAAACTTTAAGCATTTATTTGCATGAATTTTAACATATGAAACTTAACATGTAGGCTTAAAATAAACTTCCACGCCTTTATTTGCACGTATTTTAACATGTATATTAGTACTGTTAATTATTATTAGATTTAAAAAAAAATTGATTAGAAATGAAATACTGAAAATAAGTTTTAAAAATATAAAATTTAAACATATTTTTAACTGTCTCAATTATTTAATAACTTTTTGTAGGTTTAAAATCGCAATTTCCGTCTGCTTTTAAGATATTTATATACATTGTAGGCGTTAAAGTAAATGCATATTGTTGCATGCTTTCGTACGGTAGGCATTAAAATAAACTTCCACGCAGTTATTTGAAAGTATCTAATTAACTAGTAGGTATTGAAATAAAGTTCCGTACATTTTTTGCAAGCATTTGAAAACAATTCACCGCGTAGGCATTAATGTATACTTCCATGCATCGTGACGCGTGGGCACTAAAATTAACTGACTATATTTGAATAAAAGCGTTTAGGTAGTAAGCTCTTATTTTATTATATGCTTTCACGATGTTTAAAATTATATTTTTTCGAGCCATGCTTAGCAAGTTGACTTCGCTCAGAAGAGTTTTACAATTTTATCATATATTCAATTTTAAATAAGCCAATCAATTTTGAAAAGTTATGTCCTAACATTACATTTTTGAAATAAAAAATTCTAATTTATTTCATATATTTATCTAAAACACTAATTAATAAAAAAAAGTCGAACATAAAGAACAATTTGTTTATTTAGCGTTATTAATATATTCACTCTAATTCAATTATTTAGCGTTATTAATATAAATTCACTTTTACACCTATTTACGTAGTATTCAATACCCTCCATTTACATCACTGTCTCGATTTTTTATTTGCATTGAGGCACTAATGTAAAGTTTTGCCCCTTATAATATATAAAATGCAATACGAAATCGAATTTAAAACAGCAAACGAGACAAAAACTTCGCAAGCGATAATTTTAGATCAGACGATTAATCAAAGACGCTGAAGAAGCAACGACGATGGTTGATTCATAGAACAAAAAACAATTTTTGTAATAAATTAATTTTTATGCCATATTCATTATATCCATGGTTTTTTAAAATTAATTTTTCATTGACGTTTTTGGTTCTATGGATCAAGATTTTTAGCAAAAATTTATTTTAACCGATGTATGAATATATATATATATATATATATATATATATATATATATATATATATATATATATATACACGTATGAGATTTGCCATATACATTATATATATATATATATATATATATATATATATATATCCATGGATCCATCCATTACCAGTCTCCCCTGCAGATAACACCGAAGAGGTCACCATTCCTTTTTCGGATGAGTTAATGTTGAATAAATTGTAACGATTGTTGAGTAAAGAAAAACACCGAATGTTGAGTGCAGATTTTAAATTTAACAATCAAGCTCAAACGGCTTGTGGTTGTCTTCAATTTAAATCATTAAACTTTTAAAAAATTTGCCAAATGGTTTAAAATATCTCAAATTATGTAAATTTATAAAAAACACGTGAGCATTCGCCGACATTAACGACAAATATTTTTAAACGCATCGCGCATGCGTAGTCGCCGTTTCAAAAAATCCAGTTCAATGACAAAATTCTTCCATTGTAAAATAACGATATTTTACTTTTTATAGTAATATGAAAAAAGTGAAGCATCTGAAACTATTGATTACTTGAAAAAATTAATGTCAAAACATAATCTAGTGTTCCCTTGTTACCAATCATCGATTTCCTTTCGTCTTTTCTTTGACGGCATATTTTCCGATTTGATTGTCAATAAAGCTTCCTGGCTGGATTTTTTGAATATGTAGCAGAAACCACTTGGTAGTAAGATGCGTTTGCAATTGTCTGAAAAGGTTTTTAGTTTATTTGGTTTTGCGAATGGTTTTCAATTCTTAACGTCATCTAAAAATCAATTTGCTAATACTTATATCAATGGACAAATCCATAATTTTTTAAAAATATGACGCAATGTAAACAAGCATTATTTTCGTTTATGGACTAAAATATTTATATTGACCGAATTGTTTAAAGGTTATCAAAAACTTTTTAAAAACAAAAACATTAGACAAATTTAAATAAAGTTTTTTGCTTTTTCAAAACAGACTAAAATTTTGAATTTCTGAAACTATTCTTTTTTTGTTTCATAATTTCACAATTGACCAATTTAATTTTAAATTGAGTAAAGGTTGAACACTTGGATGGTCAGAGAAAACTTTAAAGATATCTTAATCAAGACAACAAAATATCCTTTTCTGACAATCGATTCATAGAAGAACCTGATAATGAGATAAACATGTGAGCGTAATTTGCCAAACTAGTCAAGTATGGTAGAAAATTTATTGCCGAAATCTTTTATGCCACACTATTTAGTAGAAACGGCATTCAAAATAAACGAAGGAAAAAACTATTTTACTTCTTTTGAATTACAAAAATGTCTTGAGGCATTGGCATACGTTTTTTTTATCGAACTTAAGAGACTTCAAAGGAAAAATCGCAACGCTGTGAAACAATTGTGTGGCATTGAGTACATGATCAAAAAGGTTATATTGGCAAATGATTGTCAAAATTTGGAAAAAGTGAATCAGTTTGCCCCATTTCAATTAAATGATTATTGTAACGGCAAACGAGCCGATTTTGCGACGGAGAGCAGTTTTTTTGAAGAAAATATTCAAGTTTTCTCGAAATTGCTTCAGCGACGACAAAAGTTTTTATTTAATGAAATTATTCAAACAAATACATCAAACATGTTGACGAAGATAATCTCAAGTTTTCATCATATGACATGTTTCATAGAAAAAGCGCAAATTATTTTTATCCATTATTATTTGCTGCCATGTAAATCTCGATCTAGTATAAATAACGGTTTTTACCCTGGTAAAATACAATCACACGGAGAAATTCCTACTAAAGAGTCAATAATTATTCATCCCTTTTCTGAAGATTTTATTGCAGTAAAAACCGTTCAAAATAAATTTTTGAATGAAAATGAAGTTGCATCAATTAAGACAAATTTCTCACAAAAGAACCATGGACAACAAATGAACGATCGGGATATAACGAAGACACTGGAATCAGTTTATATTGGTGAGTTATCGTTTTTTTTTGCTTTTTACCAAAATCCTTAATTAAAAACTGAAATGATTTAATTGCAGAAGATAATGACAATGCAAAAAACGTAAAACGTTCACTAAAAATTAAGAAACCGTCTTTTACCAAAGAAAATCAGCCTAAAACTTTTTTCGAAAGTAATATGACAAATTTTTCCAAAGAAATATTGAAAGTGTGGTTTAAATTTCAGTGTAGTCTTGTTGACATTTTTGATAAAAATAAAAAAAATTATATGAAAAGTTCAGAATGCGTTTATGGTATAGTAGAAAAAAAGGATATAATTCAAATAATAGAATTGATGGAGCAACAGCCTGATAGTGAATGTCATTCGGATTGTGTTTCAGTACCTTCAGCAACAATCCAAAATTCAGCTATCCACAACTCAAAGATAATAAGGATAACAAACAAACCAAAATCTGGATTAACATATTGTTCAACTAATTTAGTGCCTTCAAGTAAAACGATGTTGCAGTCCATGTCACCTCAAATTTGTGCAAAATGTTTAAATGCCAAAAGTAAATCAAAAAAAAAATTCAAAAAAACTGCCGAATCTTATTCGCTTAATTTCAAAAATTTTGAAAAACTATCAACAAAATCTAAAGTAACTAGTCATGGCCTTAAAATTTTGGATTTCGAATTCAACAATCACGTAATCAAAGCATATAAAACAAATGGCATTTTCAATGCAAATTTAGAAGAAAGAATAAAAGCGTTGAAGAACTATTTTAGTCAATGCAAATTTATTTTAATAAATCGCTACGGACCAACTTCAAGCAACGAAAAACTTGAGTATATGATACGATCATTTTCATTTGAGTGGGTTATAAAACCACTAAAAGAACGATTGAAAAATAAATCAAATAAAAGTTATAAAAAATTATTTCAATCAGTAAAAAATGAATCAAGAAACTTTGACACAGAATCATCTCTTCCTAAACGTTTATCTCAGACTTTAAACTTTTTTGGATTATTTTCACCATGTTCAGCGCAGATCAAAAATTCACTTAAAAATAATGTTATCAGCAACGATGAAAAACACTTAGAAAGCAAATCATGTTGTAAGATTGAGAAAAATGCTTATCGGATAATAGAAATAGAAATTAGAGACGATTCGAAATGTTTTGATAAATACCAAATACCCACTCCAGACAAATTTCAGACAAATGGTGTAATGAAAAAACAGAATAATGACAAACCATTAACAGCGTTAGTTCCAATGATTTCCAACCCAATTTCTTCCTCGATGGCAACAACGTTTCTTGTAAATTCATTAACTCAACAAAACAATGGTCCTCATCAAATAAAAAATATAAAAAACTCAACAAAACAAAGAAAAAGACATTTATTTAAAAACATTTAGTAAATTTAATTTCTAACCTAATTATGTAAAAATTAATGCATCATGCTCGACAACAATTAATATTTACTAATTAAATTTGTTTATAAAACCACCATTCAACAAAAATTACTTGAAAAAAATGAAAAGAATAAATAATAGCAAATCGTTTTATCAAAAATTTCTCAATAAAGTTTTTGACCCCATTTGCAGTTGAGTTTTTAAGTCTTGATTATGACTGAAATTTGTGGTACGAAAAATTGAAAACTCATTTGCATATATATATATATATATATATATATATATATATATATATATATATATATATATATATATGTGTGTGTGTGTGTGTGTGTGTGTGTGTGTACTTTGGAACGAGGTTTTCGTTATAACAAATTTGATTAAATGATTTTGCCTATTTATTTAATGTTTATTAATTTCTTGAAAAGACATTCAACAACACGTAACTGTTGCAATTCATATTTATTAAAACATCCAATGAACAATTGCAATGAACCGAAATAGGATTAAAAGTGATTACCTTGTAAAAACATGTGGACTAATATATGAATAACGAATATATATATAAATATATATACATATATATTAATTATTTTTATTCATTTTTATTTATTAATATTTTTGGTGAACGTTTAGTTTATTAAAATTCAAATTAAACTTATTTTTCGAATTCATGCTGCAAATAAGGCCATATTTCGATTCCGAACCAACAAAGATGATAAATAAACCTGACACCTAATTTCCATCTAAGTTCACTTTGACAAAGTGAATATTTTTCTATATAAAATATTTCGCATTGATGATGATTCATTCGGAATCGAAATATGGCCTTATTTGCAGCATATTCTTTGATGTCATTTTCATATTCTTTTATTAATTTACTTTCTTTCGATCAACAATTTGTTCTATCGTTTAATGAACGACTGAAGAAAGAAGGAAAGGAAGAAGGAAAGAAAGAAGGAAAGAAAGAAAACAAAAAGCGTCAAACATCAAAGACGTAAACTTCTTTGATGTAGCTATATGACCATAAAAATTAATTTTAAAAAACATTTATCTTTTTATATATGTTAGAATATCGTCTAGTTTTCGATTATCTTCCGTAGTTATTACCAAATAAGAATTTCCCTTTTAAAAACTAGCAATATAAGTTGGTAATGTTCGATTGCTAACGTTACTGGTGTGTTTCAGTTGCGTTGGGCTTTTTTGATACTAATTTCCAAAATTACAAGTTGCACCGTTATCCCTCACTCTGCTCTGCAATGGATATTCTGATAATCAATCACAATCATCCATTCATATTAATTTGTCTTTACGTTTTATTATATTATTGTTATAAAAGTGATATGTAAATTCATGAGAATGTATACTAAATGTATGACTGCTCATAATAACTGTAATAACAATTTCTGACAATCATACATTTGAGTACCTTTTTTTGAATATATAATCATCTGAAGCTGAACCAAATTTTAAAAACTTTCATGTTGTCTCTTGAATTTGCATTGTATATATAAAAAATGGGAAAATGTCTGCTTTCAATTTTAATAATTTCTAGTTATTGATAAAAACCAGAGTAAATTAATGACTAATCTGAATGCCATGAATATGAAATGGACTGTTTTTAGCAAACTGTGTTAATTCTACATTTAATCAGTGATAACATAAGTAATATTTAAATAAATTTTTTAAATGTGGATCAAGCTTCGCATAGAAAAGCAAACAATGATTATTTTTTCTGCATACGCACCACAGACAAGCAAATCAGAAGAGATGAAAAATGACTTTTTCGCTGCATTCTCTGACACCATCTCAACAATACCAAAATCTGAAACAATCCTGATTGGAGGCGATCTCAATGGTCACGTTGGAGAGAAAACAGGTGGTTTTGACAACGTACATGGCGGTTTTGGCTATGGAAAACGGAATGAATATGGCAACCGCATCCTTGAGTTTGCTGAAAATCACGGGTTTTGTTTACTGAACACATATTTTAGAAAGAGGTTGGAACATCTCATGACATACAGAAGTGGACCATCAGCCACGCAAAATGATTTCTTCGCTGTCAAGCAACAACACCGAAGGCAATTCAAAAATGTCAAAGTTATGCCTGGCGAATCATGTGTCGCCCAACATAGACTCATTGTGGCAGACCTGGTTGTCAAACTGTCAAAACATAAGTCTAAACAAATGCCTCGGAGAATCAAAACGTGGAAGCTGAAAAGCAATATTTATCGAGAAAAATTTTAACAGATTGTCGCCACACAGTTAAACCATCAATCGCAAGCCAGTACAGATTGGAGTACACACAAAACAGTTTTGATAAACGCTGCAACTACAGTTTGTGGGAAAACTGGTGCAAAACGTCAGCATTAACGTGACACTTGGTGGTGGAATGACAGTGTACAAAATGCAATAGCTAAAAAGAAAGTTGCATACAAGCAATGGCAAAAATCAAAGTCTGTTGATGACCATAAAATTTTCTGTGAGAAGAAGAACTATGCAAGACGTCAAGTTGCACTGGCTCGGACAGATCAGTGCAGAGAGTGGCTCACTAAAAGCAAAGGTGAACAAATGAAATCTCTGTATCGTATAGCAAAACAAGCAAAGCGTACGAAAAAAGACATAGTTGGTGCCTCATGTATCAAAAATGACAAAAATGAGATGGTTCTTGAACAAGATGAGATCAAGCTACAGTGGAGAGAATACTTCAACCGTCTGTTAAACGAAACAAATCCCATCAATGTTAACTTTGACGCTCCATTCATCGAAGGTCCGATTCCAGACATCACTATAGAGGAGCTTACAGAAGCTCTGAAAGCTATGAAGGATGGAAAGGCAGCAGGGTCCTCTGGACTCACAAATGACATTATCAAAGCCTCTGGTACTGCAGGTATCCAAACGTTACTACAACTTTACCGTGAAATCTAGAGAAATTGCTCAATGCCGACTGAATATGGAACTATAGCATGACAGTCCCGCTATACAAAGGCAAAGGTGATCCATTGAACTGTTCGTCATATCGGGGTATACGTCTGTTAGAACACTCCCTGAAAATTGTCGAGAAAATCATTGAGAAAAGATTAACGTCGTGCATCACAATCGAAAATTATCAATTTGGTTTCCTAGCGGGGAAATCAACAATTGATGCAATTCACATCCTTCGGCAACTGCAAGAGAAGTACCTCGCAAAGCATCAACAACTATCACACATTTTTGTAGACCTTGAAAATGCATTTGATCGAGTTCCCCGTGAAGCAAACAGGTGGAGTCTTTGTCGACAGCTCATTCCAGAATATCTTGTTCGACTTGTGATGGAAATGTATACGAATACTAAAACTCTTGTCAGCACAACGGTTGGAAACACAGATGCATTTGACATCGGCGTTGGAGTTCACCAAGGCTCGATTCTCAGTCCACTGTTATTTATAACTGTTACGGAAAAAATCACAAAACCAATACGCAATGGTGACATTTGGAATCTAATATATGCTGATGATATCGTTTTAACAGCCACGTCTGAGCAGAATGCAGCACAGATGTTTGAAGATTGGAACACCAGACTCGCCGACCATGGATTCAAAGTCAACATCAGCAAAACCAAAGCAATAAACACTGGTGAACCCATCCAATCCACAGCTACTGGACGATGGCCCTGTTCAGTTTGTAAAGCTGGTGTAGATAACAATTCAATCAAGTGTCAGCAGTGTAACCAGTGGTGTCACAAACGTTGTTCAAAAATAATTGGTACTTTATCTAAAGTGTCCAATTTTGTTTGTCCTGCTTGCATCAATTCTCAACAACAAATTCGAAATAGCACTGTTTTTGAAGACATTAAGGTAGAAAAAGTTACATCGTTTCAATATCTAGGGAATGTTCTGGATTGTACTGGAACAGCTGAAGCTGCCGTTCGAGCGAGCATGTTCGAGCTGGAATAAATGGCATCTCCTTGCCTCTATATTGTTGCGGCGTGACATCCCACTACCATTACGATCAAGACTTTATAAATCTGTGATACGTCCGGTGTTGTTATATGGTGCAGAAACATGCCCAATGACAACCAAACTGGAACAACAACTTCAACGAACTTGCATGAAAATGCTCCGATGGATGCAACGAATTAGACTGAAGGACCACATCGAATCTACCGAAATCTTGCGTCGTGCTGGTTTAGATGATATAAAGGACGTATGCCGGCAACACTGTGGTTTGGTCATGTCAAACGAAGTGGAAACAGTGCCATAACTTTTCTTGCAGATGTTGAAGTACCTGACACACGTCCCAAAGGCCGTCCAAAAAAGTCCTGGTCGCATACAATCGAGCAAGATATGAAAGCTCTAAATTTAAATGAAATGGATACAACTGATCGTCTAATTTGGCGCAAAAAGTTGATGGCAAAGAGAACAATGTCCTACCTCGGGAAACCGGGTCTCTGGACGCAAAACGAAGATTGAAATGTATTTTCAATAATTTACTTTTAGCGATTAAAATAAGGATAATTATATATATATAAGTGCAAATCATTTACGTAAGTCAATGGCAACTAATTTGACAACAAAGAGACAAATGTTTAAAAATATTTTATTAAAAATTGTAAATGAAATGAAATGATATCTTTTTCCATAGAAACTTCCAATTGATATAGCATTATCTAGAGTTTATCTCAAAAAAGTTATATTTTGTATGAAAAAATGAATTAGATAAAAAAATGAATTATTAAAACTGACAAATAATGTAAGAAAAGTGTTAAAACTGTTAAGTTTACATTCTGAAATGAAAAAAAGTTGATATAATGATGACTTGAATCTAGTTAATATATTGCTGCGGTAAAATTATGATGTAGATTAATGATCAGATATTTACAAATGCAGATGAGAATGCAACAATAAACTCTTGCCGAAAAATACTGAATATTATAAAGAGATTTAAAAAAATGCATGTTTAAATTGAAATCATAAAGGCATACATGTTAGGTAAAGAAGGTCTTGAAAATAATTTTTCAATAA